TGATATGTTGCGAACCCGTAACATTCATTGCTATGCAGATGACAGCACTGGTGATGCTCTTTACACCGGCCGAGCCAATATTTCTCGGGAAAACGTCTCCGAGTGCCTGGACAAACTTGTGTCTGAAGTCGAGTTTTGCTGAACAGAGTCTCGGATTGGGGGCGACTAAATCTAGCCCAGTTTAACCCCCAGAAGACACAAGTTTGCGCGTTAGCCGCTAAAAAAGAACTCCTTTGTCGTATCTTCTCAGTTTCAAGGCACTCCCCTTGTTGTCTCAGCCAGTATCGGAATCCTCGGCGTTGACATATCGAGTGACGTGCAGTTTCGTGGTCACTTGGAATAGAAGGCCAAATTGGCCTCTATAAAGCTTGGCGTGCTCAGCAGAGCGGGACAGTATTTCATGCCGGCACACCGCCTGCGACTTTACAAGGCGCAGGTACGGCCGAACGTGGAATACTGTTCCCATCTCTGGGCTGGGGCTCCCCAGTACCAGCTCCTTCCACTTGACCGCATCCAGCGCAGAGCGGCTCGAATCGTCGACGACCGAGTGCTTTCCGCTCGGCTCGACTCACTGGCACTGCGAAGAGATGTTGCATCTCTTTGCATTTTATTTCGCATATACCATGGAGAGTGCTCTGAGGAATTGTTCGGATTAATCCCAGCCGCCAAATTTCGTGAACGCACTACGCGGCAAACGTCCCGATACCATCCACACCATCTGGATGCTTGGCGGTCCACCACAGTACGTTTCAAAAGGAGTTTTCTTCTGTGAACAACCTCTCTGTGGAATAGTTTACCACCGGCGATTTTTCCGGACCGATACGACCTGGGGACCTTCAAGAAAAGAGATTACTCCTTTCTAAAGGGCCGGCAACGCACCTGCAATTCCCCTGGTGTTGCGGTTGATCATGGGCGGCGGTAGTCACTTAACATCAGGTGAGCCGCATGCTCGTTTGCCCCCTCTTCTATAAAAAAAAATATGAAATGTACGTAACTTTCCCCATAAAAACTCTAGGTTTAAAGTAGCATATAGCGTAGCATCTATGGTAAAATTTCTTCTATGAGACAATCTATGGGGGAGGCTTGTGATCAGCAGTGGACTTTATAGGCTGATATATGGATGGATAAATCTTTTTGACATGAAATTTGACAAAAAAAAAATGGAAATTATCTTTTTTGTATAGAATAATGGTGACAAAGAAGCACACAGTCCACCTGATAGTAAGTGAATGATGCCCATAGACATCCATATTTATCCTCGACTAAGAATCAAGACGCAGATGCGTTGTCACCCTTGAGGACTAAGATGGAATGCCTTGATTCCAGTAAAACTGGTATCCGATGGTGTAAAGAACACCCACCATACGAAACACAGCAGCATTAAGCAGTTATTTTACGCTGGTATTCTGTGAGAGCGTGGTCTTTCCCTGGTCGAGCCGACCCATTCGATCAACAACCATAATATAGTTGCAACGTGGCACTTCTACGTTTATGATATGATATCAACCTGATATGCCATTCCCATTAATTTCTAACTTTCTCACCTTTGCAGTAGATAGCAGTGTCGTCTGCGAAGAGGGAGAGCTGAACACCTTTCGACGGGATGGGAATGTCGTTGGTGAACAGGATGTACAGCAGAGGAGCAAGTACTGAGCCCTGAGGGACACCAGCCTTGATAGTTCGCTGTGAGGATAGCGTGCCTTCGTGTCTAAAACGAAAGGTACGATGCTTTAAGTAGGAGGCCACGAGACGTACTAGACGATCGGGGAGACCTATTTTGTAGAGCTTGTAGATGAGTCCTGTGTGCCAGACTCTATCGAAAACTTTAGCTATATCGAAAAAGACCGCGATGGTCTTATGACGACGAGGATAGAAACCGCTGAGGATATATTCCACAATGCGGTAAACTTGTTGGGGACATGAGTGTTTGTCTCGGAAACCGAATTGATAATTTATATAGTAAGATAATTTATATAGTATTAACGATAGAGACAGACGTAGAAATTCGTCTAGGCTAGACGGAGCTAGCCGAGATGAATTTCTACGTCCGTCTGTCTGGGTAAATAATACCCCCTTACTTGCTGTCAAATAACTCTGCTTTCTCTGCTATGCTTTTTTTTGAAGGGCGTGGAGAGCCTATATAACTGCACACTGTGAGACATTCCATCTTAGTCCTCAAAGGTGACAACGCATCATCTATTTTTGAAGTTGGTTGTAGGTGTTCTTGTGTGCAATAGCCACTTACAGGTGGACTGTACAGTCGTTTGTTACTTAAATTTAACAAATAAAATAATATTTTAAAGGCCACAAAATAAAGAGTAACTTAAAATAGTATATATACTTAAAATACGTACGTAATGGTAGCTATTATGTACGTATTTTAATGTATACTATTACGTATAAAACTATAGTATAGTATGTAAGTGTGCAAAATAGCGTAAAAATTATTAAAAATAAGAAAGGACGAAGAAATATCAAGATCAATGAACTGCGATCAAAAATACGTTATTGCTTTCCATATGAGATGTCAGTGCCAATTTTCCGGCTAGTTCTGCCACAGCACTCGCAGCATGACGTACGAGACGAAAGATTAATGTTCTTGTCTTGAACAGATTACGATGTATTTGTGATACAAACAGAACTTACAATGGGTGAGTCTTCATGCAATGTTAATGCTTTCATAAGTATCAATCAAATGAGCCTAAAAGCTTTTAGTGATTACAAATGAATTATTTTACTTAGTTGCAATTTTATGGAGTTGTTTTAAATACCAATTTTGGCACTTGTCCTTGTTTATTAAAATGTCACAAATAGTGATGGAGTCTCTCCAGGGACTATTATTACTACATACTAGCGATCCGGCCTGGCTTTGCACGGGTGATTTTTGGTGGTGGTCCAAATACAATCTAAACAATCTGAAAACCCATTCCAATACACACAAAAAATTTTATCAAAATCGGTCAAGCCGCTTTTGAGTTTTAGCGAGACTAATGGACAGCCATTGATTTTTATATTCTACTAGCTGACCAGGCAAACGTTGTTCTGCCCTTTTCGACGACCCTTTGTCATTTCCTATCAAAAATCCTTAAATTAGAAAAAAAGTTGTGGGTCAATCGTGAGCAAAAAAACTATCCTATCTCTCAAGTTTGACCAAACTGCACACGGTGTGCAAATTTGTATATTTTAATCAAATCAAATTTGCACACCGTGTGCAGTTTGGAGAGGATATTTTTTGTAGATGAGTGACCCACAATTTTTTTTTTGCGAAATTAAAGATTTTAATAGGATATGACAAAGTGTTGTCGAAAAAGGCAGAACAACGTCTGCCTGGCAAGCTAGTAGTTATTAAAAATATACTCATAACGAGCCGAAATGGTTAAATACAAGATATGAAGGAGTGAACGAGATTTATTAATAGGGACTAATTTCCATTTGTAGAGCAGTCGATTGTAAAGGTGAGCGTTTTCTCTAAGGTTGTTGCCTATATACATTCCACTGTTGGGAAAAGGCCCCCTCACATTTTTGGGAGGGTTTGGGCCACGCTACTTCAATGCGTGTTGACGAACTTCACTTGTCTTCGAAATGTTTTTTTTTTTCTTATTTCTCAGAAATGCAGGTTCCCTCACGATGTTTTTCTTCACCGCTAAGCACATGGTAAAAACGTTTTATGTAACTGCACTTAAAACAATTGACTTTCTTATATTATACTGAACTAATACAGTAAATTATCCAAAAAGTTGTTAATGGCGATAATGAATATGTGACATCCACGGGTACATATTCTTAACATCCGCTACGTAGTAAATAGTAATATGTATATATTCTTTTCCTCGGCTGGAAAACGCATTGAGATGCGCTAGGTGACAGGCAGAGTATAAATACGTAAATTAGAGGATCAGGCTAAGTGGTGTGCCTTTTAAAAAGTTCTGGACAATTGATGGCTACAGGCTAATGTTGCTGTTTTTTTTTTTATTTTTAATATTTTTTTTTGGTTTCCTTTTTTTTTGTAATTTTTGGTTTTTTAATTCATAGTTTTCAATTTAGCGTTTTGATATTTGTAGTATTTTATCATACAGTTTATCTGTATAATACATGTACGATTAGTTCAAACAAAGTGTCATGCCAGACTTTTGAAATGTAGCTAAAAGCTAGACAGTCGATCAACATTGCGTCATGCATCATTTCAGGGAGAGAAAGAGGCATAAATATATTAATCATATTAAACGTTATTATTGATAAGTTTTTTGTGTTTCAAAAATACTTTAAATACCCATAAATTGAATATTAAGAATTTTGGAAAATATTTTTTTGTGAATGTTTTTAAGCATTTTTAAAATTTGATTCATGGCCGAGACATTATGATGCATATAAACTACATATAATTTTTTCTGCGAAATTCAACTTTTTTTTTTACAAGTTTACATAATTACTATAATACCGTACTAAATAACGTACGATTATTATATAGTCGGGAGCATTTATATAAAAAGTGGTAAAAGTTAAAAATTACTTTCAATATGTAATATTTATAATCTATATTAAATAAAGGAAACATTCTGATTTCCTTTTAATTTCTAGAGCGCTTATATCAAATTGTAAATCAAAAACGACTATACGCGAAACGGTCTGAAAACGACACGCGTGGAATGACGCGGCACGGCAATATCTAACGGAGGGCAAGGCGGGCGGCGCGAAGCTCGCTGATTACAGCACCGCACGCTCCGCTTGTTTACGTTGTTCCTGACCACGTTTTCAACTAAAAATATGTCTGCATCCTGCCGTTTGAGCCCCTCGCCATTGGTCGGCTGTCGGCGCTGGCGCAGGAAGTTGAGGACTTACCCGATCCCCGTTGCCCCCTCACACACCGACCGTTATTTTATATGAAAGTAGACGAAACGCCAAACTCGTAAAGAAGCAGAAAATAACCCTGAACGTTAGCAGCAGCATTTTCGTTGCCAGTCGTGTTGTGCGTCTCACAGTGCTAACAAGTGACATTAAACATGGTTCTGGACACAGAAGACTGGGTAGGTGTTACACTTTTATGTTACAAAGTAACATTTTCGGGGATATTATTACCAGAGTTGAAAGATTCATGCCGAGGTCTACAAATGTTTCATCAACTACTCGCATAATGTCGCACACGTTTAAATATTGTGTTGTTCTGTTTTGGAACATAATGTATTTAATCGTTGGATACAAAAAAAAATAGTACTAATTAATCGAAAGTAAACAAAAATCATTAAACTATTTTATTTATTCTATCATTATATTTTTTCTTTTATTTTAAAATATTAGTTTATTATTGTAATTAAATAAAATATACACTAACATGGGTAAAAATTTACGATATTTTTTAAAAGACAAATTAAATTTTACTTTTTCATGTCGATTTTGAATAGAAAAAGGAAACTTCTTTGTGTTAGATTCTTTCCTACTAAAATTCACCATTTCCAAATTTGAAACGAGAAGTAAATAAATAAAATCTACATAGAGTCAAGAAGATAAACTACAGATTTTTTGTACTACATATCTTTTCATTATGTATTTCTTACCGTTCTTACCTTAGTTTGTGGCCGCTTCAAAACAGTAGGTAATGCTCAAATCGACTGTTGTTCTTTACATACTTGTCATTTTTTGAATCGATTTTAATGATTTTTTTTAAATAAATAGATGGGAAAACAGGTAATGAAGTATTTAATGTTACTTTTAAGACAACGTAGCATTCCAGTTTTTATCTTGTGATATTCTTTAATTCGCTCAAAAGGGTCAAAAAAATAAAATATTAAAAGCCGAATTAAGGTACTAATGTAATAAAATCTACATAAACAGCTTTTGAAGTTGCGAGCTTAAATTCTTCAATATTTCTTCAATACATTATAACTGAGCACCGGTTTCTGAAGCTGTTATGTGAAAATAAATCCTTTTTAGTTCCATGAAGTCGGCTTATCAAAAGTTCAATTTTCGATTACTTTTGTACTCTCACACTATTTTATGACGCACACTTTCTTTGATATCACTTTGATAAATCAAACATGCGTTTTTTTCATATTTATGAATGTAATATTTTGCTCACTAATTATGATATTGATCAAAATTGTTATTTTATTGTAGTCAAAATTTTGTAACATTGTTAAATAATTTTACTTTTGCTTTAATGTTTCCTCCAACTTAATTCTTTTTTATGTTAATAACAATCGTTATTTAAAAAAAAACTGAAACATTTATATTAATTTAACGTGTTTAATTATTCGTACCGAAACACTGTACATTTGTTGAGATAATTCAATAAAGTTAGCAAATAATAGTAAGACAATTGCGAAAGAACAGCCAGCTGATATTTAATTTATTAGGGAGCAGAAGATACTCACTGGTAAATATTATATTAACGGACTTAAAAGCCTTTAAAATAGAAAGATCCCATAACGAACTCATGGGTCGAATTATATTATCTAAAATACTTCAAAAGATGAAGACGAGTGAACGCAAGTCCAATGAGTCTATTTTAGTTTCATATGCACGTAAAATAAATTTATTACGCCCCAGTAACGAAGCTGTTTACTAAAAACTTATGTTGTGGCCTATTTAAATCAGTTACAAAGATATAAGTTGTATAGCAACATCTATTTGTATAATAAAGATTAAATAATATCAGTGGTTTTTATTTGTTTCAGGCTGATGAGCTCCCACCAGAACAAATAGCCGGTGAGTTATATTCATGTTAAATAGAAACATATTTTATCAAAGTTGCCCGTGGATATTTATCTTTTATTACTTACACCAGAGAAAAATCGCAAGCTCATAACTGGCTACAATCCAAAAGCACAATGGCAGTTCATAAATTCTAGAAGCCTCACATATTAAATTCGTTCTCCCAAAATCGTGTGTAGGTTTAATTACGTATCCAAGAATAGTTCATATAAATGTTCATATATAATTTCGTAAGCCCTGGTGTCTAATTTCATATTTTATGGTGATCTACTAGTTATATGTAAAACTGAACTATTTTATTAAAAGTTCATAAAACTACATACACGGGCGTAAAATATTGTTGAAAACTATCTAATGTTCTTATTGAATGGAAATATATGTAATTATAGACTGTGACCTAACACAAATGAAGGTTCTGAGCACTGAGTATGGTTAAATCTTTCAAGGAATGCTTGTCATCCAGCTCAATCTCGAAAAGACCTATGCTTGACTGTAGACTTTAAAAGTAAAGTAGACGATAATAGCTTTTGAAGCATGCCATCTCATCAAAGGGTAGCAAAACACCTGTAGAATACCTTATTTGCACTTGATTACGATTATATATGGGCTCTTGTGGTAAATTCCCTACTATTATGTGAGCCCGTATTTCATTTGTACATCTATAAAAATCTATTGATTAAATAAATGATGGCAACATATACCACGCTAAGACTGGGCGAGTTGCTAGTTTATCTTTAAAATCTTAACTTCTGAAAAATTATAAACTTGAGTTTATTTTAAAATAAGATTAGTTGGATTAATGTCAGCACATGTAACAACTGTCAAGGAATTGATGTACCACATATACGAAAATAGAATTTAGAGACTGCATGTATATAAAAGGTAAATTTATATTAAACCCCTAGTTAATTAATTTATTCATATTCATATTATTTATTGTATCCATAATGTTACAGTTAAGGTGTTGAGAACATTTTAAGTTTTAACTTAAAACTATGAGATTATTTTGGGCCCTGCAGGGCACGGCAATTAGGAGAGAGGAGGGCCATTACAATGAAACAATAATGATGAATATTTATTTATTTATTTATTTATGCTTTCATGCACAAAAAAGTACATATGGCGGACTTAATGCCATAGGGCATTCTCTCCCAGTCAACCATTAGGCTAAACAGAGATAGACGTTATGGAGGCGGTGCAGCAATAATCAAATAGAGGATAAAAGAAATAATAATTATATATAAATAATCTAAACAATACATACATATTTTTATTCTAATATATTATATATATATATATATATATATATTTATATATATATATATATATATAATAGATTATATACACACATACATACACTATATGCACTAAATACATAAGTATATATCTAATATATATACTCTGTTGGGAAATATATACGAAAAAGAGAGTGAGTTAATTCAAACTTGCAAGTTTAATCATATACTTACGGACTTGATTTTTAAAGACGAATTTGTTGGGAGCTTTTTTTAATGTCAAGAGGAATGTCGTTCCAGAGTCTGATGGCCATGAGGGCGAAAGAGTGAGATAAATAACCAGTACGGTGTAAAGAAGGGAGTAACTTAAGATTGGCCGAGGAACCGAGAGAAAAATTATGAGAATCTCCCAGGTATTGAAATTTAGATTTCAGATACTCGGGAGCGCATGGATCGTTCAAAATTGAGAAAAAGGTGCAGAGTATTCTAACATATCTGCGCTGATGGATAGGCAGCCAGTATAACTGTGTACGAAAGGAAGATACATGGTCGTATTTACGAAGACCATAAATGTATCTGATGCAGTTGTTAAGCAGACGATCCAATGTATTAAGATGAAGTTGTATATTATATAATATTGCAACTGACGTAACTATTACTTCATATAATCTAGTTACAATACAGTGAAATATGTAGAAATTTAATAAATTTTAATGGTATATTCACGTATTTGCAAAATTAAATTTAACTTTATTCTAAATAATGATGGTGTAATAAAGTTATTTACATTACACCTTGGTATTAAAATGGTACATTAACGTCTGTAGATTAAAGTTTGTTTGTTATTGAGCGAAACATAACATCGGGTAGGTTGTTTAAACGATCAGTAGCGTGGTAACACGCTTGGAGTGTTGCCAACGTTCCGTGGTATCAGAAAGAGCGTGATATCGTCATTGTTTAGTTCAATATCACGAGGAAAATTCTCCAGAAATTCGGATTTGCGAACGATGAGTAATTCAGTTTATGATTATTTTATACAGTCTGCTCTGAAAGTACATTTATTAACAAGAACCGCATTCGCCCGAGTAGTCCTATTTTTGTTCTCACAAACAACTATAAGTACCGAACTTTACAAAAATAAAATGTTTTTATGTCAAAGCTATAATACTGTTATAGCTTTGACATAAATAAATTAGTTTTACTGTTACTGTTATAGACTATTAAAGTCCACTGCTGAACATAGACCTCGCCAATAGATTTCCTAATGGGGGGGGATACTGCCATAGTTGCCACACTTGGCAGCGACTTGGCAACCGCAGTTTTTTATTCCTAGTCGTTGTTATGAAAACGCTACTGTCCACACCTGGTTTGTTTTCCTCTATCGCCGCATACGACACCCACGATATGATATCAGGTAGTGGATATCCATACACCACATCTTCAGTTATTAATTAACAGTTTAATCAGATATCAAGGCAAACATTTGTTGTTATGTCTTAATGGTACTATTTTGCGTATTTGCCAAGCGATGTATATCAAAGTCAAATGTAAACATTTGGAGTACATGCCAAAATGTACAATTTTGTGATTTAATTTAACATGCTCATGTATTGCAAGCCAATCAGATAAAGAGGTTTTATTTATATTAATCACTACCAATTCTATTTATATGTTTAATAGCTTGCCAGACAGACGTTGTTCTGCCCTTTTCGACGACCCTTTGTCATGTCCTATTAAAAATCCGTATTTTCACAAAAAAAATTGTGGGTCACTCGTGGGCAAAAAACTATCCTATCCCTCAAGTTGGGCCAAACTGCACATGGTGTGCAAATTTGATTAAAATCGGTTCAGTAGTTTAGGAGTCCATCGCGGACAAACAACATGACACGTAATTTATATGTATATATTAAGATTATGTTTCATCATAGTTAAATATTTTCATTTTACAGAACTATTAATACTGAATGAAAATAGGCATTTTTTCTGTTTTGTTAATTATCTATAAACAAGTATACCCCATATCATTCTGTGGGCGTCATGAGATGGCGGGATGGCGGTTGCCAACCCGCTTGCCAACCGTGGCAACTACGGCAAAAATCCCCCCTATGAGGCAATCTATGGGGGAGGCCCATAATCAGCAGTGGACTTTGATATAAGTACTATTTATTTGGTATATTCCATTACGGACTATTAAACAATTGACCACAATTAAAGAAGAGAAAGCAGCTGCTTATTATGTAAATAAAGTATTATGACTATAACTCTATATTTATTTTAATTATAATTACCTGTTAACATTAAGTTGCAAGGACAGTATTCGCCCGAGTAGTCTTATTTTTGTTCTCACAAACAACTATACTCGTAAGTGCTGAACTTTACAAAAATAAAATGTTTTTATGCCAAAGCTATAATACTGTTACAGCTTTGACGTTAATATATCAGTTACCGTTACTGTTACAGACTATTCTAATGCATAATAATAATAAATAAATAAAGAATAAGCAATTGTCTATAGAGTAATTAGCATGGCCTGGCTCTAATTATGTAACTATAAAGTACTTATGAGCTTTCAATTATTATCACCTTTATCATTTACTCTAAATTACAAACCCACCTTAAGTTACCAGTTAAAATTAAGTTGCAAGGAATATCGTTAACATTGTCCTCGTTTCGCGGGAATATTTTGTCCCAATGATGAATAAATAATTAATAAACAGCATATTTCTAGAAAAAAAAACAGCAATAAAACGCATTGGTCTTTGAGACAACTGCCAAGGTATCTTGACGAATACAATTAACAACGCAGGCAAAAATAAAAGTCTCGTTTTTAAAAGTATTTTGATGCCAAATTACTGTTGGACAGCTGCGTAAACCCGCGTGGACTCCAGCCTACGAGGTTTATATCTGATGAAGATAATTTATACATATTCAAATTATATATACTCGTTTTAATTTAGAACCACTGTTATTCGTAAACAGAATTAAACCCATACATCATATCGTTTGTGTAAGTGTATATATTCCAAAATATCTAAATTTTATAAAGATAAAAAATTTGATGAGGTGAAAATTTGATTTGCTTAATGATTACATCTCGTATTCCGAATGGAACTTGAAAGCAATCGTACAGTAAATTTCCTGCTTATGAATAACTATCAAAAGTTTAACTATAAGTATCTTATTTATGTATGACTGTCTATTTTGTCTAGTGGTTGTACCAGTGCGACTGCTGATCTTTAGATCCCAGGTTCGAATCCCGGGTCGGGTCAAATAAAGTAGCTGTCCGGAGTCAGGAAGTTGGTGGTGTTTCACCCTCGTTCCTCTAAAATTACGTAAAGTCGTTGGTCTTACGCCTGGTCTCTCTGGTCATGTTGGTTTACCGTCTCATACGACTATGATACTGAGAGCCGTGGTAGCTCAGATGGTTAGCGCTCGCTGTAAATTTCACAATACGCGAGCAAACCGGGTTCGATCCCCGCCAGCACCAATGAAATTGTTAATTGCAATTTTAAGTGCTGATTTACCACGTTCTCGGCGGTGAAGGAAAATATCGTGAGGAAACCTGCATGTCTGAGAAATAAGAAAAAAAATTTCGAAGACATGTGAAGTTCGCCACCACGCACTGGGACAGCGTGGCTGACACTTCCTTGCCCTAAAACCTGGCTAAAGGCTGTAACTTTACTTTTTTACTTTTACGTCTATGAGAATGAGGCAATCGGAGGTGGTAGTTGTAGAATAGTACACCTGCGCTTGTACATA